TAGGGTTGACTATTAAAGGAAATAGTTCACTTTTTAACATGGGTTTTGAACTGGAATAGCAGTTCCGTAGCTTGGGCTGAGACGAGCATATATCAGGAGCTTTTACAGCCCAACGATCACCCTAGGCAAAGATATTCTATTTCTCGTCCCGAAAAAGGTGTCTTGCGTTGAGGATGTGTGCCTTGCATATATTTCCATCCAGTATGAAAAGAGCATGGGTCCCGAAAATTCTTCAGAAACTAGAGAAATTATCTACGAGAACTCTAGAGAAATTCTCGTACTGATCAATTAGGACATTCAGGGGAACATTATCAGATCGAGCAGATCGCCCAAATGCCGGTGGCTGCGATAATTTCTCTGTTTCTGAAGAATTTTCGGGACCCATGCTCTTTTCATACTGGATCGCGTGTGCCTTACAGAAACTGAAAAGTTCTTCCTATATCAAAATATAGAAAAAAAATCTTTTGTTATAAAAAGGTTTTATTTTCTTTGCTGATTATTTTGAACATAAAAAATAATAAATCGTTGCAAAAAAATAATTTCGTGAAAGTGAACTATTTCCTTTAAGTAATGGAAGTGCCTTAAGCAATTAAACGGGTTTGCACGTGCACACATTATTTAGGTGTCATTTCATGCGCCGATCTTTTTTCTATCCAATGGTGAAGACCACATGTCCCTAGCTACTTTTTGCTATAAGCTATCGTCGTTTTCCCAAGAGACCTCCCGAACCTGTGGCGCACCACCTGGCAATGGCCAAAGCCGCGCGCCAGCGCCGAGTGCAAGGTCATTAGAGCTCAGTTTGTCGTAGGGAAAAGGCCTACCAATATCAGAAAATTTATTTTCTAAGTGTATGGAGCGACGCAGCCTCCCCACAGACGATATGTCGGTGGTTTCATCGGTTTGAGAAAGAAAGCGCCGATCAGTCTTCTGGCGGCGTTCCAGGAGTTGGTCAAGACGAGGCTGGAATGGTGTGTGATGCTTGAAGGCGATTATGTGGAGTAGTGTATGCTGTCATTTATCGTGCCAATGTGTATTGTTTTGATGAAAATATAGAAATTGTCCATTGTGTAGCCATAACAATAAGGCAATAAGCTCTGATGACCTCGCGCTGGCGCTTGGCGCGCGATTTTGGCCATTGCCAGACTCCTTTTTCATGGTGCGCCGCAGGTTCGGGTGGTCTCTTGGGAAAACGACGATAACTTGGAGCAAGAAGTAGCTAAGGACATGTGGTCTTCACCATTGGATAGAAAAAACATCGGCGCATGAAATGACACCAAGAAAACATGTGCACGTGCAAAAACGTTTAATTGCTTAAGGCACTTCCATTACTTAATAGCCAACCCTAGTATTACAACGTAGTGGAAATGGAATTGCAAGTGGCAATATAAGCTTCCTGCCAGCGCCGGACCAGAGTTTAAACATGCAGGCTGAATTTTAACATTTAATTTTTGAATTTTTAAACCGTTGAGCTTTTTAGAAGTTGTATGGACTGTTCAGCTCCTTTTTTTGGTCCATCACAGCGGGCTTGTATGTCACTTGTAAACCAAAATCGAATTAAAAACTTTTTATTTGGTCTGGCTACCTCGCCAACGTCTTAACTGGATCGCTTAGTAGCTTTTAATTGGGCACTGCCCACGTTGTCTGTCTAGCTTTTCGTGTCATAGACACTGTCTATGACACGAGAAGAGGCTGCTGACATCGTTTGTCGCGGTTGGATAATACCAATCCACGTCCCAGTGGCTACTCGATCGCACTTTCCCTGGCCCACCTCTCCCACCAGGCGAGACTTTGCCCGGCACAGCCGTCGCCTCAGTGCCTCGGGCGGTGACCCGTTCAAAGGGGCTCCTAATTCGTATGGTGCCGTGGCTCTCAAACCAACAGTGAAACGCAAAGGCTCACTTTCCATATAAGGCGAACGGCTGATTCTGGCGCCGGGGCTTCATTCATGCTAAGGCGCCCAATCACAGCGCCGCATTTCAGTTAGTGTCGGGCGGAAAAGCTACTATTGCTCCGCCCCTCCATCACGTGACCCTGCCCTCACGTGGCCTCAGTCACGTGGTGTTTCCACTTCTTGGCGCATGGCGGCGCTAGTCTCGCAGGGGCGGTGGTAGCTTGCTCCCCCGCCGTCCGGGGGTGATGGGTAGCAACTGCTGGTGACTGTACAGTAGAATACAGTAGAATCTGCTAATAAATCCAACTTTTGGACACGGCGTTGTGGATTCATTAAGCGGTGGCTTTATTAACCGGGGCCAGTTATTACGGAGCGAGCGAAGCGAGCGTAGTCTTTCCTTAGATTAACGGAAATTTCTGAGTATGAGCGGCCGGCCGGCCGGCCGGCCGGCCGGCCGTGGTCACGCTTTTGCGAGGCTTATATCTCAGCAACCACTTGACCGATTTACACGCGGTAATTTTTGTAGGGTAGCTTCATTCCTTCTACCAAGTATTGGACTATTCCCGATGCATGTGGGTGACCCCTTATGCACGTGCCACGTGCAAAACGAAGAGGTATCAGTTTTGTAATTGTTGCAATATCTCGGTAACTACTTGGCCGATTGCGCTGAAAGTTGGCATGTAGGTAGGCACCCACTAGGCACTGCATATACATGTGCCAGAGTTGGGGTGCTGCTGCACGTGCGCACGTGCAGGGGTCGTTTCCAGATCTCGGGAACGGCTGGACCGATTGCGCTCAAATTTGGTACACGGTTAGGGACCGGTTAGTAGGGTGCCGTGCACAAGTCAGTTGGGACCCATCTTGCACGTGCGCACGTGCAGGGTGCCGCTTCCAGATCTCGAGAACGGCTGGGCCGATTGTGCCCAAATTTGGCACATCGCTAGAGACCAGTTAGTAGGGTGCCGTGCACAAGTCAGTTGGAGGTACCCCCTCGCAATTTCGCACGTGCAAGGCCCACCCTCTCGCTCGCTCCGTTAGTCGCCCTAAAAGGCGTTATACTGGTGCTTCTACGGAGAAATCCGTGAACAGCTCAAGTGGCCACAATAAGAGGCTGGATTTGTTATCCGAGGATTTATTCAGCAGATTCTACTTTTAACCAATCTGTGCTCCCTGGTTATAATAATGCTTACGATCTCATCAGTTAGGATTGTGCGAGAGAGTCGGATACTAAAATATCTTCCCATTACAAACCGTAAGGACACCTTAGGGGCTTTTTCAATGGTTGTCGCCTCTGTACCACACAGTCTTCGTTACATTCCGCTGTTCCCGGCCGTTTCACCTCTGTGCTGCCGCCAGCAGGTGACCCGGTGACCCCTGCCCTCACCTCAGACCCCACCCGGCAGCGGACCACTTCTTACGCCCGCCCGTGACAACAACACGTGTTCGGTCGGCGGCGACCACAGGGCCACACCTGGGAGTGATGTGTCGGTCATTGTTGGACCGCGCTGGACATCCATTGTTCCGTGCGGTAGGTTTTTATGCAGGAGGCGGCTACCGCAGTCACCACAGCACGCGCGAACTTCTGTGTGGGAGCATATTAGAGACCGCACGATAGTCAATAGGATGGTAGCTTTTAGTCGGGGCACAATTTAGTGGGGACATGAATGCGTTATGCGCGTCACACATAGAGCCCTAACGCACACATTCAAAGATGTCTGCCATATGGCGTTGATCTATGCACAATGGAGTCATACACCTCGACTTGACTTTAATGACATAGTCCATGAATCACCGCAACGTGCAGATGACATCATTGAATGAGCTGTGCATTCGCCACTCGTAGCTCCTGGCAAGCACATTGGACATGGCAGTAACGGTTCAAAGGGACAGCTCACGCATGCCGCTGCCGAATTTCGCGGACTCGGCACGCAGACACTCTTCGTTAGAAATGTTCGCTGCGAAAGGCCCCGAGCGTTAATACGCATCGTAATTTATCGCCTGACATGGCGGAATTTCCGGCTACTGTCAGGCTAGTACGAACCTACGTCAGGGCTCGCCAGGACCCAAGGTTTCTTATGTCATGTCATACGAGAGCTAGCTGTGTGATAAGATCATTTGAGTTAGCATGGATGTAAGGGTGAAATATGACCGCACCATTCGAGCATAAAGCGTGTGCAGAATAAGAACTACTTGATGACTTTGTTATTACACCCACGACCTGAACGTCCCGAGGTTTGAGGTCAGCGTTTTCAGGAACATGTTCTCTCACAACCGAATGTGTTGTGTGAAGTGCACGATTATGATGCATTCATCCAACGATATACACGTTGACGTATGTGCCTGTGCGAATACACTGTCCTGCAGTACGCACTCCTATTCCTGTGGGTATGCTGTACCGCAGAGCACACTATTGCCGGTATACTGTGCCACAGTACACGTACTGCTGTTGGTAGTTGGTACACTGTGCCGCAGTACACACTCCTGTGGACAGGGGTGCGGGAACTACTCAGACTGGGTGGGGGGGGGAGGGAGGGTACGCCATAATAGAGATTAACCTAGGGTTCCATCAAATCTAGTTTTCTCACCGGTTTTAGATCACATATTTTTCATGTCTTGCCTTTTTCAACAAAAAAAGAAAACATTTGCAAAAAAGTGCAGTATTCCGTCTCAAAGTTGTGGGGGGCACCACCCCCACGGCCCCAAAGTTGGGGGTGGGGACAAGCTGCCCCCCACTGCCCCCCCCCCCCGGTTCCCGCGCCTATGCCTGTGGATACACAGTACCGCAATATACACACCCGTCGGTATACTGTGCCGCAGTACACACTCCTGTCGCTATACTGTGCCGTAATACACACTGCTGAAGGCAAATTGTGCTACCATACACACTCCTGTCGGTATATTGTGCCGCAGTACACACTCCTGTCGGTACATTGTGCCGCAGTACATAGTACATACACACCAAAACATACGCCTTCAGTAGGTTTGCGTGGCACCCCTCGTGCGAAGGAGTGCTCTTAACTATCTTAATGCATTCTGTACCTATTTGTCAGTGATCTTCAAGTCTCGGTCTATCACCGACTGATCGATCCCTCTCTGCCTCTGTTGACAGATGAGCACCAGCCGGCCGTTCAACTGAGTTCGTCTCACTGCCGCCAGATGCCAGCCCAGAGCAGCGCGGCCGGCGCGCCGCCGCCGCCCGTCCCACCGCGGCACGGCCCGCCGCGAGACGTGGACGGCCTGATCCGCGAGCTGCAGCGCATCAACCTCTCCCAGTGCATGGACCAGCTGACGGCCGACATCCAGCAGCTGAGCTCCATGGAGCGTCAGCTGGGCCAGTGGCGCGGCCTATACGTGCGCTGTCCGGGCCCCGAGCCTGACGACCTCGCCACGGAGCCCGGAGACAAGAAGAGCTCGTCGGGATACAGCACTGAGAGCGGCTCACCGCCAGCCAGTCGAAACACCAGCGGAGAAGGTATCGACGGCCACGGCGGCGACGGCTACGGTACGGACGGGCGGATTGATGGGTCGTACGGGATGGAAGGACGACCATTCGGTACGGAGGGACGGGCCGACGGACAGTGCGGCACGGACGGACGAAGCGATGAACCGTATGGGATGGCTGGACAGTCATACGACACGGAGGGACGAACGGAGTTCGGATGCAGAGTGAACGGTTTGTCGGTTAACAACCACATGACTGATGTACTCCCGGCGAATCGCTACACGCCTGCTCTTCATGCTGTAAACGGGTGTAAGGTGAACAATGGCGCAATGAACGATAACGGAGTGAACGGTCACCGAGATAACAGTGACGGAACTGGCAGCTTCGGAAGGGGTCGTGCGACAGTGGGAAGTTTCAAACCGTTGGGAGGCGCAGCGGCCGGCGGAGGAGTTGGTGCGCAGAGGGGAGGGGAGAATGTGGGAGAGACGCGAGGCTGGAGAGGAGTCCAGACAGCTGGGGAAGGCTTTGGGTTGAGGTCGGCATCGTTTGAGCGAGAGACGCGAGCTGTGCAGCCGCCGGTAGCGGCAGTGGCACCTCTGAGAGATAGTGGTGGCCTGGTGAGCGGGTTTAGACACAGAGACGGTCTCAGTGGACACATCGGACTCAGTAACGGTCCCAGTGGCGGTGTTAGTACCGGCTCCAGTGGAGATGTGTGTGGCGGTGGCGGCGGTGACCTTTCCGCTGTGAAAGACGGCTTTACCGCAGATGTGGCGACCAGTGCTGACCAGGCGCTCGGCGGTCAGCGTGACCCCGACCCCCGGCAGAGGTCGGTCCCGCGGTGGCGACGACAGGCCGGCCCGGACTCTCCGGTCGGGCCGCGGCGAGTCGGTCTCCTCCAGAGCAGCGTGGCCCACTCGAGTCAGTCGCGGCCGGTGACGCCGCTGCTCTCCCGCGCACCATTCTGCCCACCGGCGGCCAGCACACCGACCCTGTCACCCAAGGTGCCGCGCTCGCCAAAGACGCTGCGGTTCGCCGCCTCGCATGAACTGATTCCGCCCGACTCGCCGTCCCGCCGCCAGGTGTCGGGTGGAGCGCCGCCGCGGCCGGGCATCCTACGGAGCCGGGCCAGCTCGGTGGAGCGGCCGGAGGCGCTGAGCCGGCCGGCGCCGCCCGGCTGGCGGGCCGGTTCCTCCAGCTCCAGCCCGTCGCCGGGCCGCGGGCGGCGCGCCGGCGACTCGGCGCAGGAGGCCACAGACAGCGCCGAGCGCTTCAGCCGCGTGGTGTCGGCGCTGAGCCGGCTGGAGGCGGAGCTGAGCGGCGTGCAGCGGCGGCCGCCGCCCGCGCGCGCCGCCTGTGGCACGGCCCAGTTCGTCCGCCTGCCGCCGCGCCGTCAGCTCTCCTTCACCGCGCTGCCGCCGCCGCCGCGCCACCCGCCGCTGCTCACCGGGTCGGCCACCGACTCGGACGACTCTGACTCGGAGTTCGAGTCCGACTCGCGGTGGCTGGTGGGTGCGGCCAGCGCGGCGCGGCCGCCGCCGGCGCCCCCGTCCGAGGACGACTTTGAGGTGTCCCGGGGCGCCCGGCTGCCGCCGCCGTACCCCGCTCAGCCGCCGCGGCGGCGCCGGCCCTCCCTCTCCTGGCTGCTGAGCTGCGGCAGCCGCCGCCGGCCGCCCTCGCCTCCATCCACACTCCTGCCGGCGCCGCCCCGCGAACCGCCAGTGACCTCCGCCGGCGCCGCGTACGGCTGCAACCTCTGCAAGGCGCGCTTCGCCGAACACTTTCAGCTGGTGTCGCACGTCCACGAGCGGCATGTGCGCGTGCAGATGAGGCCCAAATACAGCTGCGGACTGTGCCCGGCCAGGTTCTACGCCAGCAAGTTCCTGGCGCGGCACTGCGCCTACAATCATAACTCGATGGGCGACGCGCGCACCCCTCAGTGCTTGAAAGCGGAGAGTGCCACCTGAGCTGAGACATCTGGCGCCCAGATGGAGAAACTGTGGTTCTGTTCTGAATCTGATAAGTGGCGCGGGTCACCGGGTGTTGTCTGACAGTACAAACGATGCTTTTCGAAGGGGACCTGACATGAAGTGATGTGTGAAGCGATGTGATGACGTGTGGACGTGTGATGAACGACAGGTTAAGTGCATATTTGGGACGTAAAACATCTAACCAGTATTAACGCACGGCTACACAGTACACATGCTTACCACCCAGCGAAACGTGAATAATTCGGCTGCATGTAACCATGCATATTTAAAGTTTATTCTAACGAGTAATAACTCGGTAGTACTCCGACAGCCTAGTGAGCCAATCCGGCTTATTTTTCTTGTAATAACGGCTGTGCTAGTCATGGCCGACTGGCCAATTCGCTGTGTGAAAGGCCCGTGTCGCGATGGGTATGTGTGGTTCGGAGGAGGACCAGTTTCCCGAGCGGGACGCATTGTCCATCCGCCGCTGTATGTATGGGGGACTTCTGAGCCCTGTTTCATGGCTCAACGCTACAGCGCGCCACGCGTATCGCAGTATTGGGTTTCCAACAGCAACAAGCTCGGACATTTTCAAAGTTGGAGCGTCCGAGTGTGTTGCTGTTTTCATGGAAACCCAATACCGCGATACGCGTGGCGCGCTGTAGCGTCGTGCCGTGAAACAGGGCCCCGGTCTTGCAGTAAGGACTGGTGGCGACGCAAGTTACAGGAATCCATTCCAACTGAGTCAGGCTGCCCTGAAATGTATACCTACTCCCTCACAACTACCAAAATGACCCAGAATAAATGACCAAAATGAGGATCATCTAATATTCTTCGCCGAGCACAGCGCATGTTGATTTCAGATCCCGCCAAATTCAAATACGATAAATACGTTGAGAAACTTGGCTGGGAAAAGCAGAACAAATAGTTAACGCGGTTGTAGTATATTCATTTCCGTAAATAGAAAATATCACTGCATGCAATACACCCTTAAGCATCCAGACTTTGTACTTCAAGTCTGTATAATTGTAACACCGTTGCGCGATAGTTATCATGGCACAGATCACCACCGTAGAATCACTGGGATCACCAAAGTCACCAGTCACCAATAAATGGTGCCATAGACCACAACCTAAGACCAGTATCACCTGGGATCTATGGCGCGCAAGGCGGGGGAAGGGGGAAGGGGGCACAGGTCGGTACGTCGGTTACCGGGATGGGACACAGAATGGTAGGACCAGTGACCACTGTCATGGAATGGTGGATGTTAGACAAAGGCATGGCTACACGGTGAACCTTAGTAATTGTGCATTGTCTTATATCCTTTTTCCAGTCCGTTTTCAAGTCCTTTCCTTTCGCAGACATTTGCTTTTGAAACAATATTACCATACTCACTCGGTCTAATTTCGTGGAGTCTAATTCCAGGCTGAGGAAGGCACACATCAAAAAGCCAAAAGCACCCACCATGTAGCCAGCACCATACAGCTCGCCGACTACCGACCGCTGGTCCCGGGCACTGACCGATCACTGACCTCTAACCACTGACCACTGATCAATTATCATCGACCACTCACCATTGACCACCGCTCACCGGCCAATAACTACTGATCACTGCTCACTGATCACTCACCACTCTCCACCGACCACTGCTCACCCATCTCGGATCATTGATCGCCGATCATCGACCACTGCTCACCGATCTCTGATCACCACCAGCCACTGACCGCCTCCGCTGCCGCCAGCCCTGATACAGTGCCAGCGGCGTCCTGGGCTCCGCTCCTCTCCCGCACGCCATACCGGCCGCCTAGAGGACCATTTTGGGCGCGGCAAAGTCGCTCTGGAGCTGGGGGACCACCACCTCCTGCTGCCGTCCCTCGGCCATTACCGCCTCGATCTCCTCGATACTGCAAAGGAGAGAGTGAAAGGGACGGGTCAGCACGGCGGATCGAAAGTTTGGGTGAAGGGCGAAGGTATGTGCTGTGGGCTAAATTGAAAGGGCTGGGCCGCCCATGATTATATGTGCAAGAATACCTAGAACTATTATAATCCTAGGCCTGCATGCCATAAAAGATTTGAAAGTACACAAGCAATTGTAGTTATAAATGGACAAGTATTGTATCGAGAGTACATGAACCTCCAGGCTCCACGAATCAAACTATTAAAACAGTTACATTTAAGGCGTACCGGTTTCGTCTATTGACTTCTTCAGCGCCGTATGCTTCATACGGCGCTGACAACTGACCACCGTTCAGCTTCATACGGCGCTGAAGAAGTCAATAGACGAAACCGGTACGCCTTAAATGTAACTGTTTTAATAGTTTGATTCGTGGAGCCTGGAGGTTCATGTACTCTCGATACAATACACAAGCAATATTTGACAGGCAATAAACAACGAGTAGATCGTGCCACCGTAATTTCAATTTCTCGTCCCCATGAGCCTTCACTAGTCTAATGGCTAGTCATCTGTAATTAACACACCACCGACCCATGGAGATCCGTTTCACAGAGTCAGGCACGGATTGTCGGACGGGGCGGCAGCTCCCTCTGAACGAGGCGGAAGGGGAGGAGAAAGGAGAAAGAGAGAGAGAGAGAGAGAGAGAGAGAGAGAGAGAGAGAGAGAGAGAGAGAGAGAGAGAGAGAGAGAGAGAGAGAGAGAGAGAGAGAGAGAGAGAGAGAGAGAGAGAGAGAGAGAGAGAGAGAGAGAGAGAGAGAGAGAGAGAGAGAGAGAGAGAGAGAGAGAGAGAGAGAGAGAGAGAGAGAGAGAGAGAGAGAGAGAGAGAGAGAGAGAGAGAGAGAGAGAGAGAGAGAGAGAGAGAGAGAGAGAGAGAGAGAGAGAGAGAGAGAGAGAGAGAGAGAGAGAGAGAGAGAGAGAGAGAGAGAGAGAGAGAGAGAGAGAGAGAGAGAGAGAGAGAGAGAGAGAGAGAGAGAGAGAGAGAGAGAGAGAGAGAGAGAGAGAGAGAGAGAGAGAGAGAGAGAAAGAGAGAGGCGGGTGATCCTCACCTGCGCGGCACCACGGTGAAACACTCCATGCCGGTGTCGGTGACGATGAGGTCGTCCTCGATCCTCACGCCGCCGAACCCGCGGTACTCCTGGATCCTCTCCGGGACCAGGAACTGGCTGAGCACCGGGTCCGCCAGCGCCTGGTCCAGCAACTGAGTGGGAGGAGGGGGGGGGGGGGGGCGATCAGTTGCGGTACTCCTGGATCCTCTCCGGGACCAGGAACTGGCTGAGCACCGGGTCCGCCAGCGCCTGGTCCAGAAGCTGAGGGCGGTGGGCGGCGTGGGAAGGTCAGACAGGCATTCGCTTTCGCACATTCGCACAGTACAACGCTTACTTCTAACCACTTATGAAACAAAACTAAAACAGGAACAGAGCAATGACAGCCCCGGGCTTGGGGTTCATCATAGAATTTAAACGTCTATGCTATCAAATGTAACTTTACAATGCAATGAAATAAACGATCCTTTCATTGTATCTAAACGCGATAACAAACTCTTTGCACCTTGACACATACAATGTTTCTGCATGCCGCTCTTAACCTTGCAACATCCCCTCCAGCCTGGCAGTCCGACCCGAACTGACCCCCCCCCTCCCCCCCCCCCACTCACGTGGTCGATGAAGTAGCAGCCGGGCTCGGTGGTGAGCACCATGCCGGCCTGTAGGGTGCGCGCCGTGCGCAGGTTGCGCAGGCCCGGCTCGGAGCGGCGGCTCGGGTGGCCGCTCAGGTAGCCGCCCACGTCGTGGACGTCACAGCCCAGGAAGTGGCCCAGGCCGTGCGGCTGGAACGTGGCGCCCAGGTTCGCCTGCGGGGGGGGGGGGTGTGAGGGTTCGCATGTCAGTGGGGGTATGGGTTCAGTTCACCTGCCGTTGGGAGCTTAGGAGTGGGGTCAGGCCACGAGGACTCCAATGGGGGAGAGGATGTGAAGGGAAAGAGTGGGTTCTGCATACCGAGATCTGAGGAGGGGGTTTGTTAATGATAATCTCCTGTAGAGGGAGACTATGTTCCGCTAGAGGTCACCAAAAGAGTGGAGGAGTGAGTCAGGATACCAAAATCGTCAGGCGATATGTAAATTAATACAGAGCCCCTTTACACTGCACACTCTCAGCACAGCCTGCCAGCGCGCTATCAGCATCCCCTATCTCCCTCCCCTCCGAGACTCCCATCAAGCCCTTTCCCCTCCCTCCGTCCGTCCGGCATACCTCCATCATGTCGTCGACGTTGCCGCGGAGGATGCCGGCCTCCTTGAGTTCCTCCAGCGTCACCCGGTTGGCCAGCCGGTGCATGTCCACCCACGAGACGCCTGGGAAGGTAGGGGTCAGGGTAAGGATCAGACGACTGAGAGGGTAATCAGAAATGAAAAAAACTGGTCACAGGGAGACGGCAGAAGTCAGCATGCTGGTAACAGCGGTCAGCCATCCACGCACATTAATCATCGCCTGAACTTAACTGTCTGATCTCATCCTACAGCTGTCCATCTGCCCATCCTTGTCCATCTGTCCGTCTGTCTGTCCATCTGTCCATCAGTCATCTGTTCCCCTATCCCTCTGTCCGTTTTTCTGTCTATCCATCCGTCCGTTCGTGGGACCTACCCGGTTTGATGGCGGCCATGACGGCTCGCGTGGCCTTGAGCACCAGGTTGTAGATGGTCTTCTGTTTGTCGGTGAACTTGCCGTTGGCAGGGAACGAGCACGTGATGTCCGAGGTGTAGCAGTAGTACTCGGCGCCCATATCGAACAAGCTGTGAACCGGGAGGGGCGGGTCAGTAAAACAGGTGAGGAGGGGCGGGTCAGTCCAACAGACTGCAGACAGGCAACTCAGCCGAACAGACTGAATACAAGGGAGTCAGCTCAGTGACTGATAGTACGTGGCAGTAGCTTATGCTTGGATTGCTGTAACTCCAATGGCGAACCAGCGAAAGGGAGCTCATATCCCCAACATACATTACCGGCTGAGCCAAGACCTTAGTGGGCAAAGGCCTCCCCTCCCCCGCTAAACAGTATTAATTGAACCTGTCCCCGACCCGTGCTGAGCTACTTTCCCCCCCCCCCCTCCACACCGTCTCTTCCTTTTCCGTCCCGTCCCTTTCCGTTTCGTTCACATCATCCCACCATGCCTCGCTCCACCGTCTCGTCCCATCCCGCCCCGTCTCGTCCCACCTATCCCGACCATCCCGTTCCGTCCCTCCAGCACTGACCACATGTCACCATCGTTGACCGTCTTGTCGTTGGGCGCGCCCGCGTGGCCGTAGTGCAGCACGGCGCCGTTACCTCCCGAGCCGCAGATACACGTGTAAGCCACGTGGCGACAGCCGCCCTGTGGAAACGGCACGTGTCAGTGAAGCATCATGACACGTGGAGAATAGCGACACCACGAGTCTCAACAGCAGTCACTCATACGTGTAAATATGTTGTGTTACAAGGGTGCCAGTCTCTGAAATTCCACAAAAGTACCTGGCATGCTTACCCCGCTAAGTCAGGTGCTGTAGCTGTTTACTGTTTAGTGACAGACGAACCCCAAAGACGTTTCATTTCTACCGAGAAACAACTAGCCCCCTCCCCCCCACCACCAAAAGTCGCTGTTTCAGTCCCGCTTCCCGCCCACCCAGACCCGACCGGTCGCGGGCACGTACGTAATAGTAGGCGTACTGTTTGAAGATGGCTTCCAGCTGGTATTCCTTCATGCCGGGACGGATCTTCTTCATCACCTCAATGTGGGCGCGAGACGAGATCAGGTTGGAGAAGCGGATCACCTGCGCCTCCAGGTGGGTCTTATAGACGCGCCTGAGGAGAGGGGGCAGGGGAGGGATCAGAAAGGCTACGAGCGGGCCACTTGTTCAAGCTATATGTACAGGTCTCGCGGGTTTTAGCGGTAGGTTTTGCACCTAGAAAATTTAGTGTACTTCAGGCTATATCTTCGTCGTCTTAAGCTTTCAAGTGTTGAAGATGCGATCGACTTGTTGGTTCACAAGCCGGCCATGATCGTGTAAAATGGCTTCAACGGAGATCGATTAGTTTCTGAGATATAACTGGAAATTTAAAAGTGCAAGACCTACCGCTTAATCTCGCGAGGGCCGTACAGTATATAAGGTCCATGTATCACTAACTCATTCCCAGACGCATTGCATCGTTTGCTAAATAAGAGGCGGTCACTCCGGTAAGCTTATTTGCTTCTATAGTAAGTTGCGCAACCCGGCTGACCCCCCCCCCCCCCCGCCGCATTCCACGCGCATTATCAGACCGGTCCCGTACATTTCCACGCGTACCGATCGGGCGCCCTGACCAGATAGTCGGCCCGACCGAAGAAACAGGACCCGAGGCCGACTGTATCGGGAATCAGCTCTGCCCCGGCCAGAATACTGCAGCGACGCCGGTCGGTTCAGAGGCCGACTGATAGCGCTCGTTATCTGAACGAGCCCTCGTCGGTCCGTGAGGCTATCATAACGAGCCCGCCGTGAGGCTATCTCACCGAGCCATCACTTCCTGAGAGCCCGACGTGAGACTATCGGGCCGAACACCCATAATTTTCGTGATCTCGACGTGAGGCCATCTGACCGAGCTCTCATAATATCCGTTAGCCCGCTGTGGTGTTATCTGACTGAACCAAAACAAAATCCACGTGAGCCCGCCTTGAGACCAACTGACCTAGCCCTTACCGGTCGTTGAGTCCGCTGTGAGGCTTTCTGGCCACGGCCGAGCCCCTACCGGTCACATGAGATCGCTGAGCCACATCACCGCCCTCGGTGTATTATCCGCCGGGTCCCCACCTCCGACAAATCCACTCAAGTGGCTCGGCTTCAATGGGGCCGTGCGCAGCGGCTGCTGAACTTCGTACAATGTTATCGGCTACCGGAGCATCCCGACCGCGACCACTCTCAATGTACCGGCAGGTTGGTCGGTCGGCCGGGCCGGGGCGAGTAATGCCCAGAAATAGTCTGCGTATCTGCCCCGTAATTTCAAAGGCGGGGAGGGGGAAAGAACACTTACAGTTCCGCCATGACTGGGTACAGGACCTCGTAGTCCGTCTTGAACCTGCCGGTGAAGGAGGGAGATCGATTATTTTAGTTATCAGACTCAGGGACAGGGGAGGGGAAGGGGAGGGGAGGGGTTATCGCGCTGACAAGAGGCTACTGTTTACGGACATACTCAGCTCAATCATAGAATGACCAATAATCGCATAAAACTTTAACAAATTGACCACACTCAGGACTATCTGCGAACTGCAAATACATAATCGATTGCTTTGATCAACATGTCACAGCGCTGCACAAAGTACGCATGGTCACACAACTTGCTTCGGTTAAAAAATATAAATGTCTAAAAAAGTAACAGGCAATTACTGCAGCGGGAAATGCCATGGGTCTAATGGCATTCCATGATGCCATTAGACCCCCTAAAAGTGTCATTCGGTCCCGAGACAGAGGGAGGGGCACTCACTCGCTCATTCCGTCGAACGCCGCAGGACGGGTGGTCAGCTTACTGTCAGAGTTGACGCCTTGCTGGAAAGGGAACACAGACACACGAATGTGACAAGGATTTAGCAACTGCATAAATTAACTGACTGGAGGTCTTAAGCCTAATTTAAACGTAAGTATTGATAAAAAATTCCAGGGCGGCGCAAAAAAAAAAAGTTCAAGAGACCTTCATTACTACCAGCGTGTAATGAAGGTCTCACGAATTAACAGCAATCTACTATGTCCCACTTCTTCTCAATACTGGCACTGCTCCCGGAATAGTACTCGCCGTCTGTCAACGTCAGACGGACTCATGACCGGCCCGAGATCACAACCTACCAGCAGCAGCAGCGAGTCCGGTTTCATGCCCTTCAGGACGGCTGCCAGCTGGGGACATGGACAGAAACAGGCGGTCAGCATCACACGGCATGGTATGCATTGGACGTTATATACATACTCGTACAACAGCGTACGGTAGGTAATAGGTACCGTGCAACACAGAAGGAATAACATGGCACAAAACGCACTTTGTACCATACCATACCTAAAGGTAACCGTGTTAACCCGCGAGTTGCTGGGGGGGGGGGGGGGGGCGTTAAACGCCCCCACTTTTTCGCCGGGCCATAGCATTAAAACGGCGCGCCGCAGGCGCGCCAAATTTTGGGTACCTGTAGGGAATTGATTGAAGTGTATTGTGACAAATTTTCAAAAAAATCGGTCCGAAAATTTTTGAGGTATCGAGGTTTTAGTGACGTCATGATTTCTGAGTTTTCGACCAAAAACGGCATATGTTCAAAAAATCATATAAAATCACAGAATAGACATACAGACATGCCGTAAACGCCATTAGACTGCCAATACCATGAACAATCAAATGGCTATCTTCGATTATTGATTATCGTTCCGCATTTTCCAAAATCTTGAACTGAATCTTGGCAATTTCTCGTCACTACTTCACGACCATGATACATGCATTTCTTAAATTGAACTTTTTGAGCCAAACACGTACACATATGATAAAATGAATGTCACCATCGTGTTTTACGCCCCAAATTACCCATAAAACATGTGTCACAACTCACAGGCTGCAAATATCAGTTTTGATTTTCGGGGATATTTGCCTACCGGTTGACCTGACCTTGACCCTGACCTGACCTATGCTTGACTGACCCCTACATGGAGCTGACACTCTTGTAGGCCTTATATGAAGGATTGTGCACCGTTTTGACAGAGTTTATGACGAGAGGCGCCCATTGCGAAGTCCTGAAGTCCATGCTACTGAAAGCCCGATTTCAGGTGTTTTACCTGACCTTGACCCGACCTGTGACCTGAAAATTCAACTTTAAAGTACTCATCTGAAGCGTCTCGTCGCGTTCTTTCGTTTGCCGCCCCGTGCGTTTCGCTGCGCCTATTGGTTCTCGAGTTATCGGCTGGGGGCGTTTAACGCCCCCCCCCCCCCCCAGGCAAACGGTGGGTGGCGAAATACCCCAGCAACTGCCGGGTTAAAAGGCTGATAGGCAGAAGAAGAGCATCATACAGTCTGCAAATGACGCAACGAGTTTTGAAAGATGCAGCCTCTAGTTGAGGCTATAGCCTCTAAGACACGGAAAGTGGGACGGACTAAGAAAAAGCGCGCGATACCGCCCGGCGTGACTGTAAACTCGCTAGAAAAAGACGGCCGATACGAAGCAAAAACGGTAGCGAAGTCACAGCAGCTGAATTTGAGATTAAAGGTAGTGTGCCAGCTTTCTTGGACCGTATGGAGTTAATGGCCCAGATAAGGAGAACCGGATTTTTAGAACTTATCCATACCTTCAAAACTCATGGAAACGTCTTAAATTCTTCAAATTTTGAGTACCCCAGTGCGAAATTCGCCCCGACGGGTTGTCGGTCGTACCCCAACCACATTTCACACCACTATGAACAATAAATGCACACACTGAAATCGCTATTACCGATATGCTCATCCAATCAAGTTTCGATAAACCCGTTCATCATCATCTCCTGCGGTTTCGAACACGCCTGTTAGGTGGCTTCTGATGCTCGTCGAGGTCGGAATTTCCAAATACGCGTGGTGCGTCGGGCCGCGCGCTCTGACTTCGGCCAAGAAAAATGCGTCAGCTGATCATTGTCATTTCTGCCACTTGCGTGTGGTGAAATGGGGTCATAACTTATAAGACGGCTTTTTCATATCAATTATTTTACATAAAATCATATTTCAAACCATAAATAATGTTCGACAGCCAAATAAAAGAAACAATACCAATACGGGCTTACAGTTTAAGGCTCGACATTGTGTTGTCTACGATTAGACAGCTGATAACTCATTCCCGTACGTCGTATGGTCGTAACACTATAATGACCTTTGCTTATTGTCACAAGTGCGCCGCATTCGCGATTGTTGCCCGACGCCTGTTTGCAGGTGAGCCCACTACAGTTGTTAAACATATCTAAAAACCGAAAAACTTTTAGGCGAAAAAGGCACTATTCCAGACCCATTTTTGATTTTTTTTTTGCGATATTAGGTAAAAACAGAAGCTTCTTATCCTAGGAAAAATAAAATGGGAAATCTTTCAAAGGTGGCACACTACCTTTAACAAAACAGAGTGACGAAGCAGCGCGCACAGCTCACCGACAAAACACAACGCTCGTCACCGGTCCCTGCGCCCCGGTGGATGCACGGACTTCGAGACCGGTCCTACCGCTCCCGACAAGTCCACTGCCGCTCCGCAGAAAAAGAAAAGAAATTGCCAACACGTCTACTCCTAGATACGTTGGAGGATTTTACACCGTCAAATCCAGGTTAATCGTCACGAGCGCAACGATGAGAGACCGTTCGTAATCTAAGCTCAGGAAAAATTATTCAGTAAACGATGTCATGCCGGATAGCCAAAAATAACCGTCTACTCGTATCTCTTTATCGACCTATAAAACTGACTGGCCAATCCTCCATCCATGAGCTAAGCTTTGGTCCACCTAGCAAGGTTGCCTAACTAAGAAGGTTGAGCTCAGCTACCTTGCAAGCTAGGCTCAGCTACCTTGTAGCTGAGGGCCAAACACAACCAAAGTCCTGACCTTTTACGTCACAAACTTGGTAAAAGTTCGCACCATCCAACGACTCACCTCGTCGACGTATTTGACGTCTTCCACCTCATACTGCGCCTTGACGTCATCCGGCTGCAGGAGTCGTCCCATCCAGGTGGCGTACACCTCGTCCAGCCGGGGGTAGAAGACGGTGGTACGGCCGGTGGCCACCTCGATAGCGGCGTAACAGTCCGGCACCAGAACGCCCACCGCCCAGTGGAAGAACGACTCCTGCGCGGCGGAACGCGGGTGAGGGCGAATGGGAGGGGTGCGGTGTGGTGGGTAGATAGTAGATACAAAGACACAGACAAGCGTCTATGCATGCTTAAAAGGTCTTTGTTATCTGTGAATATCTTCTATACTTTGGACATACAGGTTCAAAAATTAACAAATTTGGAACATGCACACGCTCTTAAATTGATAGCGGGCGGCGATCGAAAGCACGAAAGCCGATGAATATCGAACACCGCAGGATCAAAATCGAATTTCGACGGCCATTCGCCGCACCTGTCGGAACTCCGGCTCGACATCGGTGCAGTAGCGGTTGGACGACTGGCCGCCCTGCAGGACCACAACGGCGGCCGGCGGCACGCCGTCAGTGCGCCGCAGCTCGTCACAGAGGCGCCGTCGGTTCAGCCGGTGCAGCTCCATGGGCACCTGCAGCGTGTGCGAGCCCAGGCAGAAGCCCTCGCTGGAACGGCGCAGCCGGGCCGAGGGTGACTTCGGGGGAACGGGAGGACGGAACCACACATCCCCTGGCACATTCACATTACTGCCGTGCAAAGGCAAAAACGCATATCTAACATTTTTCTGTCAGCACAAAATTTTACACAGGGGCGAGTTTTGTGTTTTTCCGTCATTGTGGCCTTCCACTGACCAGAAGCGCAGCAATGTATATATCATTTGAAACAGAATAACGCGCTCTACCTATGTACATGCGTATCATAGTCCAAAAGTAATAAATATTAATATAATTACATAAAAGTTTTTCTGCCATTGCAATATTTTCTTTGCGGGGGTGACCCATGCCAACAACAAACGCGTATCTGGGCAAATCCACACAACGGTAGATATGCGTATTTGCCACTCGGCACAAGGCAGTAGCACTATAGGCAAATACGCGTATTGGGAGATATGCGCACGTGCCATTGGACACAGACGCCACCAGCTAGCTGGAAAAAAGACGTATAGTAAGATGTGCATAATTGCCACAATCGTCCTATCGAACTAGACAACTAACATATTGGATGATACGCTTGTTGTTTCGTGGCTCGTGCATACAAAACTTATGCCCGTAAATACATATGCACACGTAACTGACCACACCCTGTGATCAATACGGGAGATGCAGATTCACATAGCTGGCAAGACGTTTGTGCGGTGGTTTACATAATGTTGTGACGCTGTCGTGGATCCTCACGCAAGTGCCTGGTTCCGTAAAAAGGTTGCCGGCCTTTTAATCCTCGCACTTGTAGAGCGGGGGAGGGGTCGTATGGAGTATGGACCCCTCGGCTTTTCGAGAATAACTCGCGCAAAAAGCGACCGATCGCAACAAAACTTTACTTGCCCTTGAATTTAGAAAGTTTACACCTACTCGAAAAAATCTGATGACCTTGACCCAAATGACCTTTGAGCTGTGACTTATTTCTCAAGACCGTGTTTGGCCGAAATCGCGATTCGGCGTATATCAACTCACATTATCCGCGCGTTTCCAGTCTTCCAGGGGAGGGGGGGGGGGGGCAGGGGCGTAGCCAGGATTTCCTCCAGCAGGGGGCCAAACTTTCAGGGGCCCAAGGTAAACCCCCTCAAAATCCAAAAAGTTATCGGATTTCATCCACTATTTTTTGGAGGGGGCCCAAATAAAAAAAATAAAAATGATAAAAAATGTTAGAACTGAGGGGCAAGCAGAGCAGTCCATGGGTCCCTGCTAGATAGGCCCACTAATAGCTTCATAGAGTCGTTCAGCCGGTTCTGAAGGCGGTCTTGAGGTCCCCGTAGGTCGGATGAGGGTCCTTCAGACCGCCAAAGGCCCCTACAGCCCATGAGAGCCTCGTAAGCCGTCTGAGGGTCATATAAGCCGTCTAAGGGCAGGGGCGTAGCCAGGATTTTCTTCAGGGGGGAGGAGGGCAATCAAACCGAAAGGGGCGATGTGAGCGAAGGGGCCCAACATTTTCTTAATTTCATGACGTATTTATTTGCTTATATACGTATTATTAACTACCTTAAAATTACGAAGGGCCCCTGCGAACCCAATGGAGAGGGCCCCAAGGGCCCAGTGGCAAAGCCTCAGGCCCGAAGGGCCCTTTTATGACCAATGAAGAGAGCCCAGAGGGCCCTAGCGGCAAGGTCTCAGGCCTGAAAGGCCCCGCGAACCCAGTGGAGTGCCCCGAGGGGCCCTTTATAGTTTATACGCTACTTTTATTGTGCCCCTTACCGTACTTATGACACCGCGAGGCGCGATGGGGGGCCCTTTTGGGCTCCAGGGGGGAGGGCATGGCCCCTATGCCCCCCCTGTTCCGGCGGGATCAGCCGCCGGTTACGGCGGGATCAGCCGACGCGGAAAGTTTCAGCCGCAATTTTGTGCATAGGTAAACCCTCGTAACTCAAAATTTTACCGGCCGATTTTCGTATTTCTTTGATCATTAAATTGCCAGTACATTTGCAAGGCTCCATTGGGATTTAGAAGCGAATCGATTATTATCAGCGGTTACAGCGCATTGCAAAGACGGAAATGTCCGGCGCCGGCACAGTCTATAATTTAGGCGGCTAATAACAGCCAAGGCCTTATATTAGGATAACGGCCGCTGAGGCGCCAGGCGGCGGGATGTTGTTTACACGGTACACTTTTGTTATTAGCAAAGTTTTGGGCCAATTGACTTGATGCTTACACGGCAACATGCGCCACTATTTTTTTTCTGAAAGAAATCATGCACTGAACATTTCACGCTAATATAGTAATTGAGGGATGAATTATTTGCGTTGAAGCTTTAGCTTTTGTCAATGCATGACAAAACACCAGCTTAATTTTCAAAACATTTATAATATTTGTTTTACGCTGGCATGTTTTATTCAAAGGGGACACAGTCTCAGAGTCGGTAGATACAGGGTGTCCACGTCAAAAGTGTACCCAGACTTTTCTCCATATTTTATCTTAAAAACATCACACTCACGAACAATTGCCCTCGTTTGAGAGCCAAGGCAATGGCAAAACATTTGCTATGCTTTTCAACTGTGCTCGGCACTCTGCTGACCAGCGCGTGCCGTCTAGAGCAACTGCTCTATATGAGCCCCTTTGCGTCGGGTCACCGCCGGCGGGTCACCGCCGGTCTGGAGGTGGGTGATCGCCTGGTCAACGATGTGGGAAGGAAGGCGACGGATCTCGTCGATGATGAAGTCTTTCAGCTCCTGGGTCGACCCTGGATTGCCAGCGTATGCACAAGTCCTTGAGAAAGCCCCACAAGAAGAAATCTAGAGGGCTGAGGTCGGGCGAGTGTGGAGCCCATTCCACTGCGCTTTTCAAGCTGATGTGGCGGTCAGGAAAGTGCTCTTCCAGAAATTCCAGCGACCGTTTGGCGGTGTGGGGCGGCGCCCCGTCTTGTTGAAACCATTCTTCATGGCGACGGATCCCGCGTCTCCGCTTCAGCTCTCGCCAGAATGGTTCCAGTGCCTCCGAGGCGTAGCGTTCTAGCGTTACGGTGTTGTGTTTGTCTCTCCCCTGTCGTCTTCGAAAAAGAAGGGGTCGATAATGCCCCCTCCATGCCTCATTGCCACCCAAACCGATACTTTCTTGCTGTGCAGAGGCATGGTCTGAACTTTTTCTAGGCAATGGGATCCCCAGTGCACGGGGCATTGTGGGATTTCACATGCCACGGTCCGTCTGCCGGCGGTGGCCCGACGCAAAGCGGCTCATATAGAGCAGTTGCTCTAGACGGCACGCGCTGGTCAGCAGAGTGCCGAACACAGTTGAAAGGCATAGCAATTGTTTTGCCATTGCCTTGGCTCTCAAACGAGGGCAATTGTTTGTGAGTGCGATGTTTTTAAGATAAAATACGGAGAAAAGTCTGGGTACACTTTTGACGTGGACACCCGGTATACCTAATCATCTAACTCATTACGTAAAACATGGTAAAACGTTCAATTAATAAGCGTTTTTGCAAGTCCCTCAGAAATCAGCCCCGGGCAGCGACGGACTGCCGGCCGGCCGACCGGCCCCGGGTGGCTGGAAGCAGGGGCCAGTCACTGTTTGGTCCGGATGTGTAGGAGCGGGAGCAGCACTCTTTTTCACGCATATTCGCGTATTTACCTATTTAGGCACATTGACATGCAATGTCATTATATCTGATACGATGCGAGATCACAGACCAGAGATCCAGCTTATAACTTATATTAAATATTTGACCGATGAATCAAATCAAAAGGACTACGTACGATGTACGTCAGACACGTACCAAGGATTTCGCCCAAGAAGGGGTCACCCGCTCTTGAAGGGGCCCGCGAATCATCCAGGGGCCCGGGGTCAGCCCAGGCAAGGACGTATCCAGGACCTTTCGATGGGAAGGGGGGAGGGGGCGCGGTGGGTCTAGTCCCACTGGCAGACGGGCCTCTTTATAACGGTCTTTGCCGTGAGAAAATGTGGAAAATTGGCAAGTAAATGTACCTATCATTTATGCCCGAGGAGTGTCCCTAATATACACTAATGTCTAAGGTACATAGTATTTTACGAGCGAGAGAAGCGAGCGAGCTCCTCTGAGTCACCGTCCTCAGAGTCACCGGTGTGTGGCGGCGCTCAGAGGTGCCAGTGGAAGGCCGTCAGATGCGTTGGTTTTGGTCCTCACAGGCGCCGTTGCGGGGTCTCAGGGCTTAGAGACACTGGTGGGGCCATCATTGGCATGTGTGTGGCCGTGCAGAGTGGCCTGCGAGTGGAAAGTGGCCCTTCATAGGCTGGCAAGGATACTCAGAGGCTGGTAAGAGGCCCTCAAAGTCACTGGTACGTGGCCCTCAGAGGCGTCGGTGTGGGGACTCTCAGAGCCGCCGATGTAGGCCCTTAAGATGCGCTGGTGTGGGTCCCTTGGAGGTGGCGTGAGGAGCTTCGCAGGTGCCGTCGTGGTGGCTTTTAGAAACACTGCTGTGGGCCGTGGGGCTATCACAGAAGGATGTGGAGCCATTGCAGCTGATCCCTCATTGGCCGTTACTAGCAGGGCTGCGGAGTCGGAGTCGGAGTCGGAGTCGGAGTCGGAGTCGGTCGGAGTCGACAGTTGTGACCGGAGTCGGAGTCGGAGTCGGAGTCACCGAAAATCTGTCGACTCCGCAGCCCTGCTAGGTCTGCGGAGTCGGAGTCGGGAGTTGGAGTCGGTCGGAGTCGACAATTCTGCCCGGAGTCGGAGTCGGAGTCGGAACTGGTTTTTGAAAGCCGGAGTCGGAGTCGGAGTCGGAGTCGCCGAAAATCCATCGACTCCGCAGCCCTGGTTACTAAGGCCATCAGAGGTCGGCAAGGTCTCTCATAAACCGGCATTGGGCCTTTATGGAGATAAGTGTGGCTACATAGGAGCCAATTACGTGCTCTCACAAGCCCTGTGGACTGTGGTGTCTTTCCGAGTTGAAGCGCGGCTAGCACGAACCCTCTGCCACCAACTGGCGCCGCAGGGCCCCTCGGGTTCGAAGGAACCCTAAACCCGAGAACGGGCACGTACACCCTCGCTTCCTGGCTATGCCACTGAATCCAAGTGATCAGGAAGGAACCCTTCAGGTAATCAGGGGCCTCTCAGATGACCAGGGGTTTTCAATTGATCAGGGGCCCACCAGGTGGCCAGGGGAACCTCTGGTACCCAGGGGCCCTCAAGTAACCAGGGACCCCTTAAATAACCAGGGCCCCCTCAGTAAACGGAGGCCTCTTAGGTAACTGTAGGAGTCCCTCAAATAACCAGGGTCCGGCAAGGTCTCTCAGGTCCGTTTTTGACGAGGCTGTTATTGACGTCAGGTGCGAGCCTTTTGCCACCAGCAGAGGGCCCTTTCAAGCCTTTAGACTTTTGACTTCTGAGCCGTTTAAGGTCTCTTGAGGGCCGTTTGACGTATCTTGAGCTCCCTTTGAAGCCTTCTAAGGGCCCTTTGAGCAGCCGAGGGGCCTTTGAGGCCTTTTGAGGGCCTCTTGACGTCAGCTGAGGACCGTTTGGGGCCTTTTGATGGCCATTAGACGCCAATTGAGGACCCTCTGAACCAACTGGGGGCTCTTTGACGCCAGCTAAGGTCTCTTTAAGTTTGACGCCAGCTCAGATCCCTCTGACAACAGCTGGGGCCCTCTGATGCTAGCTCAGGGCCCTTTGACGCCCTTTTAGGCCTTCTGAGGGCCCCTTGAGGCCTTCTAAGGGCCCCTTGAGGCTTTTTGAGGGCCGCTTGACGCCAGCTGAGGACCGTTGGACTCCAGCTGAGGACCGTTTGAGGCCTTCTGATGGCCATTTGGCGCCACCTGAGGGCCCTCCGACACCAGCTGGGGGTCCTCTGACATCAGCTAAGGACCCTTTAAGGCCTTCGGAGAGCCGTTTGACGCGAGCTCAGGACCCTCTGACGCCAGCTCAGGGCCCTTTGACGCCCTTGAAGGCCTTCTGAGGTCCGTTTGACGTTGGTGAGGGCCCTTTGAGGCCATTCGAAAGGCCTTTGAGGTCATCTTGGGCCCTTTCAGGCCATCTGAGGGCCCCTTGACACCATCTGAGGGCCCTTTGACACCAGATGAGGCCCTTTGACGCTAATTGAGGGCCCTTTGAGGCCATCTGAGGGCCCTTTGACACCAGATGAGGGCCATTTGACGCTAACTGATGGCCCTCGAGACCATCCGAGGACCCTGTCACGCCATCCGTGGGCCCTTTGAGGCCTTTTGAGTGCCATTGCAATTTCACCACAATCACCCTGGCTGCGCTACTAGGCATTTTATGGACTCATATAAGACTGCTGGGGAACGAGATGGGCCCTCCCGGTCTTTTAATCTTTATTTCATCTCATTTTAACACGGTCTTCGGCGGTCTAATGATTAGGGGGCCCTCGACTTGAATGGAATGGATCATCTCATTGTCCTCATTGTGATAATATAGTGGAATCCAATGATTCAAGAACTTACATTCGCAAATAATATTGGTTACAAGCCTTTCCCTTTTCACGGCTGATTCACTCATCGAAAAAAGAATCACGTGTTTCACTACGATACCTCCGCTCAGGAGAAGCGGTCAAAAACGCATATCTGCAAAGTTCGTCGAATGAACATACGAGGTGTGTCATTAAAGTTCCAGGACTGGTGTCCTAAAAGATAAATTTCAAACCCAAGCCACAAACCACCATATTCCCCCTTCAAAGTAATCCTTCTGGAGTATACAACTGCGCTCCCAACCCTCTACAGTCACTAATCTTTTTCTTACGTGCTTTTAAAATCATGTCCTCTGTTGTAGGTCGTTTAACAATGAGCGCTGAACAGCGAACAAACTTGAAGTTTTTGGTGCAGTTGGGGAAAACGCCGTCAGAAGCACTGGGTATGCTGCAAAAAGTGCACGGGGATGAGACAATGTCACGCTCACGTGTTTTTGAGTGGTGCAAGAGGTTCAAAGAGGGCCGGGAGGACGTGGAAGATGACCCCAGGAGTGGAAGACTCTCAACGAGCAGGAATGAGGCCAATGTTGAGCGCATCAAGCAGATGGTGCGTGACGATCGTCGGTTGACTGTTCGACAGATCGCAGATGAGCTTGGCATGAACCACAACAGCGTGTGGAAGATTATCACTGAAGATCTGGGCATGCATAAAGTCTGTGCGAAGATGGTGCCGAGACTCCTGAACGATGACCAGAAGGGACGACGCATGCAGGTGTGTCAGGACATCCTCGAGCGTCTGGAAACTGAACCACACTTGCTCAGGAGAGTCATCACCGGCGATGAGTCCTGGGTATTTGAGTACGACCCGGAGACCAAACGCCAGAGCCTTCAATGGAAGAGTCCGGCGTCGCCACGGCCGAAGAAAGCAAGGCAGTCCAGGTCCAGCTTCAAGGTCATGTTGATCGCTTTCTTCGATGTGAGGGGCATCGTCCACTGCGAGTTCTTGCCACAGGGCCAGACAGTCAACCAACATGTGTACAAAGAAGTACTGCGGCGTCTGCTTCGTGCAGTGCGCGAGAAGAGGCGGGAGTTGTGGCAGGGCAACTCGTGGCTGCTTCACCACGACAATGCGCCTGCTCACAATGCCCTGAGCATCAGAGAGTTCTTGGCCAAGAAGAACATCGCCGTGCTGGAGCAGCCGCCCTACTCACCTGACCTCGCTCCGTGCGACTTCTTTCTCTTCCCCGAGCTCAAGGAGGTCATGAAGGGGACCCGTTTTGATGATGCGGACGACATCAAAAAGGCCGTGACGACGGAGCTGAGAAGCATCCCGCAAGAATCCTTCCAGCAGTGCATGCAAGCCTGGCAGAGAAGGATGGAGAAGTGCATGCGGTGCCAGGGGGATTACTTCGAAGGGGATAACCTATAGTTTGTAGCCTGGATGTGAAATAAAACTTGTGTGGCACCAGTCCTGGAACTTTTATGACACGCCTCGTAATTGAGAATCGCTCCACCACGACAAAAACGCACATCTACGTTGCTCGTTCACTGTTTACCAAGCCAAAAACGCGTATCTGCACAGATATGCGTTTTTGTCTTGGAATGCAAAGACATTACTGCACACGGAGACCAACAATACGCATATCTGCAACAGATATGCGTTTTTGTTTTGGAAGGAGGATTATTTAATCCAGACGATTACCAGCAGGGAGTAGATATGTAAAGGTTATGTGTTTTTGCCTCTGTGGATGCCTGCCTAATTGTGTTGTGTGTGCTTTTTCCAAACTTATATATGAAATATTTAGTTATTAAATGACGTATAGACTTTAATATTGATATGAGCATGTGTAGCTCATAGAGAGGAATCGAATAGTATAAAAAAACAAATTTTGCCAAAATTGTTAGTTATGCGTTTTTGCCTTTGCACGGCAGATTATTTACAATACCTACACTTACTTGAATGGTATAGATACACGCGAAAAAAAATAGTTTGCAAAATAACTCAGCACACCTACTCTGTAAATGGCAACAAAAAAGTAGCTAGCACTGATAAACATAGCCACATTTTCATTACAAAACCAGCTCCATATATCCATATATCCTTGTACGTTTAGTGCATTGAGGTGAATAGTGATGGCCAGAGTCTTCAATCTTCATTGATGTGAAATTAATAGTCAGTGTATCACTGTAGCTCTCACCTTGCCATTATTTTGGTTTAGTGAACTCTGGAGGTTGTGCACCACTTTATCTGGAAAAAAGAGAAAGACAATATTGTCACACCAGGCCCACAAATGTGTTATTGCACACCAGAGAGAATTGAGCATTTGAAGCTCAGCATGAAATGTTTAAGGTGCACCCTTCAACCTTGACTTTTCCCTTCCCATCCAATAAGTTTATTGAGTATCATATAAGATCATTGATATCAATGGTGCATGCCGGTCAGCTCTGTTGGATGAGCCAAGGTTGCATAGGTAGAGCTTCAATTAAGCCCTATGGTGTTTTTCTAGTGGCTGATACATTAACCAAGCAGATGTGGGGTCCTTCACCCTCAGCTACAGGGGATCAGACTTCCGATGACAGAGACCCTAGGGATACCATATCACCAGGCTGTGCAAATGATGCAGTGTCTTTGTTGTAGGTGCAGATGGTCAGCACATACAGTTAATGTCTCAGTATACTCAGTATAGGCATCAGGTCAGGGCCAGGCACTAACATTCCATATCTTATTGACTCAAGCCTCAAGGGATACAGGAAATCACCAGTGCAGGTAAATGGCCTCTGTATTGTGAAAATGCATGGTCCCTGACTGCCCAACACTAAAGCAAGAGACATGCAGACTGCCTGCCTACACTACCAATACCTACTACCTAGCACCAACTCAGCAGTACAGTGGAAGCTTGCTACCTTAGACACAGCCACAGGGGCCCACTAGCTACTACCCAGTATTCAGCACTGAGCACTCAGCAGATACAGGGTCCCATTGGACAGAACTCAGCTCTCAGCAGATACAGAGATTCATTCTGCAGCACTCAGCAGATATAACAGCCCACTGCATAGCACTCAGCAGATACAAGGGCTTATTGAACAGCATCACTGCCCATTCCTGATCCCCACACACAGTTGGAGTGATGGTGACACAGGCCGGTATTAGTAGAGAAGGTGTCACAGTCATACGAAGCTTTCCAAACCAAGGAGAGGCGCTGATCACTATGCCCGGAGCCCGGAGGAGCCAGGAGGTCCTTCTTTCTAAACCTAAACAAACCTAACTTAACCTAACCTACAACCTACAAACCTACAACCAACAGTACCTCTCTTGGTTGGAAAACATTCATGTGGCATCTGCTCTACTACTGCCCACAGGCCTTCATCTCAGAACCGGACCCACCCCATTCCCCCAACCCTATGAACTACAGGACTTTGGAAAATAAACCATGAAAGGAAAGAAACAGCATTAATCTGAAACGAAAAAAGGAGCAAAGAAGTAGCATATCCATGTGTGATGCAGGGCGGTGTTTCACGGGACGCTGCAACCACGCTGCTATCAAATTGAATGTGCTGACATCACACTTGTGGTAGTGTTGGAGCAATGGGCCTGTTGATGTCTCCATGGATTGGAAACCCAATTTGACACGTGTAAAAGCATTGTGCTGCTATCACCTGTGAAACAGGGCCCAGGTGACTTCAATTGACCGAGCACTGACTGAGCAGCTCAGCGCTGAGCGCTGAGCTCAGTAGAGCAGCTGTTACCAAGGCCGGCTGTTACAGGCATAATAAAATAAGAGCCCCTGTCATCTGACCCACCTTCAGAGCAGACACCAGGAACTCTAACCAAAAACAGTGAGATTATAGGTCAACTGCAACTGCAATCACCCTTGCCCTCAGAGACCACAGGGGCACGGGGTCAAAAGACTCGGTTCCGACTCAGAGACAAGACTGAGACAAGTGAAAAGAGACGTAGGAGTCAACGGAGTCAACCTGAACTCGTCAACATTCTAACCGGTACAAAGGATGTGTTCGTTATCCGTAGAGAGATGAGATATTCCTCGAGAAATAAGGAAGAAAAAAGCAGTGCTGCCAGATGGAGAAGGCTGTAATCCTCCAGATCAGTTACAAAAATCCTCCAGATTCCTCCAAATCCCATTGGCGGATCTAGAAAGGCGGTCTTGGACGCTGCGGGGGGCATATTTACGTCTGGACAACGAGTTGCGGGGAAAAGTGCTGATTGTGTTGCAGTTTTAGGAGCCGGTAATTAGGCTGGATTTTTGGGTTACTTTTTCGTTCCGATTCATGTATTACAGTGTTTGGCTTTTGAATATTTTAGTTCTTTCAGATAAATATTACTTGCCTTACAACTTTTGTAAAAATGTTTCATTTTTTATAAGCCGACGTTCAGAGTCCTAAAAATACATCAGCACTACAATCATTGTAAACAAACAAATGGAGCACACACAACTTGGATCTGTTCCAAGGCCGTTTTTAGTTTATCTGGTGGTTTTCTTGCTCTTGTACGTCGTTTTGTTGGATGTTTTGAATCCCTTAAGATTGACTTATATCATATTTAAGAAGCATGTTGACTGAAAACAATCTGAAGTATCCAGGAGGCTGACAGAGGTCCTGACTACTGAGTACCTACTGAGCATTGAGCAATATCAATATCAAGTTGAACAAGTTATGAAATTTTGGTTGATAAACGCAAGTTGATCGGGCTCATATATCGGCAAGAAAAAGTAAAATTAAAAGAGCTTATTGTCCAAAAACAAGCTATAATATTGCAGACCTTGGAGCAATACTGAAGAGCATGCTGAGCAGGATCATGCCAGAAAATGTTGACTGATGAGCGCATATTGATGTATTGGTATGAATATTGAATGATAACTTACAACAGCAAGATAAATTAGTGCTAACTATCAAGTTAAAATCTGGAATGAATGGACTTGGGCAGTTGATTGTAATGTGCATCAGGTACTCAGTGTCTGGCAAATGAAACATGCGATCATTCCATTGCTACTGGTCTACTGGAGGAGAAAGCTTGGATCACTAAATCCACTTTATGTTGATTTTGATGTTAATCATCATCACTGTATTTCTTTAAAAAAGGATGGTAGTAAAATTGTCAATGTGACAATCCATGCAACGATGTGATCATATTATGTGTTCATAGTCATTTGTGATAGTCATTATTGGTCCAATATACAATGGCAAAGCTCTCAGTCTCAGCGTTTCTTCCTGTGGATGGCCAGCAGTGACTCAGAGCTTAGAAGTATTAGTTTTCTTCACAGGGCTGGGATAAAAAGTACTGAGGGTAATCTTCCGCCAAGGAACTCTACTTTGACATGGTATGAGATGTAGGCACAAGTAGGTAGGTGCTCAGTTCCTATGGTCAGTAGTTGTGTATGTTTAGTCGGGTTAGCTTAGATGAGCTTGTTAGCTTTTGAATTTGCCAAATGTCCATAAAAATGTGACCTGAGCAATGAGCATACCTGACTAACCTGACAGCTGACCTAACCTCAATCATCACACATATTTGCAGCCTACCCAAGACCTGCATGGCAGTAGCACCCAGTTATAGGTAGGTACTTACCCTAACTCAATCTTACCTGCTAACCTTCAACTTGCCAAAAGTTAGCTCACATTGCCAAGCTGTGCAGGGAAACAGTCAACTGAGGAACTGGCTCATTGGGTGGCTGGTGTGAGTCTGTGCAATTAAAGTGTTTCTTCTCTGAAGCTGCTCTGCACTGTTGTATGTCATGTTAGATGCTCAGAAAATGTGGGAAATGATTACTAAGCCACTTTAGTGCTTTGTTAATGCTCGAGACATGAACAAGTACAGATCCTGCAGGGTACAGCTATGAGTTAGGTGCTAGGTGAGTAGAGTATGTTATGTGAATGTGCTGTTCCCTGTTTGACCGTAAGTATACAAACAAGCACAGGGTCACAGTTATATTCAATCTCCACATAAACATACAACAAAAACGGCCATATAGCCTAACTCCGAACACACCACAGATAACTTAAGCCTTTGAAGGCACAAAAATGTTTTGATTAACAGGACAGGTTTACAATATATCCTCTGTCCTTGGGGGATCTTGCTGCCAAGTTGAGGTATGATGACTGAACTTCAGGATTGATCAACCTTTTCTTAGCCACTGCTTATATACGAGAAAGACCAAATGCTTGTTTGTTTTGATTTACAGGACATGTATACAATATATCCTCTGTCCTTGGGGGATCTTGCTGCCAAGTTGAGGTACGATGACTGAACTTCAGGATTGATCAACCTTTTCTTAGCCACTGCTTATAAACGAGAAAGACCAAATGCTTGTTTGTAAACTGCGTTGAAAATTTAATGATCCACCTTCAATTCTGACATGAAGGCACAAATGAAATAGTTCCCTCTCCTTTTGGAATACACAAAGCAAAATATTTAATAAATTTTAGTGGATGGACAAGAGCAATTAGCATAGCTTTCCCTCAAGTTAACTTCTCGCACTGTTGATGAATTACACTGACGCTTATTCGCTTCATGTTTTGTAACAAACGCGCTAAAACTGCAATATAACAGCACTATATGCTTCTTGACAAAATGCAATAGTATTAAAAATTTAGCCCTGATGGCATTCATTCTTGGTGGAAACGTAATTACAAAATATTTTGTAGTAACTATTAAATTCCGGCCGAAAACAGTGCACGGTTTAAAAAAGAATCATTCCAATGACGGTCCATTATTGCGGTCCTGAAATCGCCACTATTTCCGGCCTCTCCAACGCAACTCGTTGTCCAGACGTAAATATGCCTGCGGGGGAGGGCATACCCCCAAAAAGTTTCCCCAAATTCTAAAAACTCATCGGATTTCGATTCCTTTCGCGCTGCTGTGCAGTTTAAAAGATACTTTTTCTAATGAATATTTGTTTAGTTTTCGTTTTATCCTCGACAAAAACGAAAATTTTCGTCGATTTTGGGCGCTGCGGGGGGGGGGAGGGGGCTTTGCCCCAAGTGTCCCCCCTTTGATCCGCCATGTAGTTCGGTACACTGGAAACTTTTTTACTCCCGGCTGGGGGGTAAACCCGCTGTTACGGAGTAGCGTACTCCGCAGACGTTTTTTACACCCCACCGTGGAGTAACTCTTCTAGGATACCCTCGCACAGGGAGTAAACCCTTTCGATTTTACCCCCAATCCAGGGGTAAACCCTTTTAATTACACTCGCACAGAGGGTAGACCCTTTTCATTTACCCTCTGACAGGGAGTAACCCCCGGCGTTAACCCTCTGGCAAGGAGTTACCCCCGTTCTTTACCCTCTATAATGGGGTAAAAATTACCCAACGACAGGGGGTAAATGGAAAGGGTAACCCTTTGTCGTGGAGAAAAACGTCTGCGTACTCTGCAGACGTTTTTTTACACCCCACCTCAGATATTTACCCCTCCCGACGGCCACGCTCCATTGCACAATGCACATACAAACTCAATAAAAACATACGTTGCAACAAAAAGTCTATTTCCGAAATTAAAGTATCGTGTACAAGTATCGGTCCACTCCAGAGCAGAAAAAACAACGCAAAATATCGAATGCGGGGAGCTAGACCTAGGACCACCTAGGTCCGTCGGCGACCGCTGCACTGTCGCCGGCCGTGCAGCCCCGGCCGATCACGGAATACCGGTTGACTCGCCGACGTCGCAGCCCGGGCCGGCCGGCTACTCGCGGGTCCAGCGGGGGTGGGGCTTGTTTGGCGAGGAACGGAGCCAGGAAAACCATCACACATTCGAATACGGAACATAACTCAGAATTCGCTCCCTGCACACCCGCTTCCTCCCTGACGTGTGCCGCTTCATTCGCTCTTTTACATACAGCTGTTGAGCAGCTCCGGGACACCCTCTAGTTTCTTTGGTATTTTACTGTTGTCTGTTCTGAGAACAAACCGCAGCAGAACACACGCTGTGTTTTCAACCTTTCGGTTCGTTTTCTGAGCGTAGACAGCGAATGAAGCGGCCCACGTCAGTGTTCTACCTTTGTGGTACCACAAAGTCTGCAGACTTCAATGCCCTCCACGAAGAGTGCATCGTCGCGCACGCTGGGGCCTCTCGCGTTGGGGGAGACCGTGTAAATTTGGTCTTCCTCTTGGAACATCGCCAGAAGGTGCCCGGCCGCTTCATCTGCAAAGTGAAACAACACAAATTAAATGTTGGCAGGATTGACAAGGGAGTGATTGAGGGACGGCAGAAAAGTAAGAGGCGGGAGGAGGGCGGGTGGTGAGCGTGAGAGGGAGGGGGGGTAAAGGCAGTGGGTGGCATGAGACGTTTCGAAGCAAGATAAGTTTTTTCTCTTTTTCTATTTCTCTGAAACAGTGCCAGCTGCGATAGTGAAATTTTAACACAAAATCAATCACGTACATGTACAAACAAGAGCATGGAACGGTATGCATGCTATGCGCGCATCTTCGTGGGGGTTCACCGAAGAACGCTGAGCTGTTAAGTGCTGTAACCTGGCGGCGCGCCGCATGTCGATGGGGATACCGCTGCTGCCGCCAGGTGACAGGTCGAGAAGCTGACCTGCCCTGGTTCGAAGCAGCGGTTCGGCCGAAGTGAGGAGGGTGGCGTGGCAGGCGTCCGTACCAGCCGCGCGTTGGTGGTACTTAGCAGCGTTTTTTTTAGCGTGGCACCATGAAAAAAAGTTAGAGAAATTTATTACCGACTTTCGAGGCGAAGGTAGACCAAGTGTGGCTTTTCAATTGTGTTTCGCTCAGTGTTTTTCAAATATGATGTTTGACCACTGACCAGCAATATGTAAGATCTTACATTTCATCTTTTCCGAAAAAAACATTTCTTGGGGAATGTCGTCATAAATTTACAGTTTAGGGAGAGAACTACGGGGCCCTGTTTCACCGGTGATAGCAGCAAGCTGCTATCACGTTTCGCGAGCTGACGTCATGTCGTGACGCCATACTGTTGACGTAATGGGTAGTTCCGGCGCACGATTGCCGCGACCTTGGCGGCGGCATTAAGTGACGTATGAGCCTAAAAGTAAGAG